ATAGACTAATGATAACTGATGATTAAATTTTGATATGAAGTATCTAATGAATGGATTTATTTATTTATAATAAGTTTTCATATATCTCAAATCTATATAAGGCTAAAAAAACTACAAAATTATGCGAAAAATCTGTCGAAATTTAGGTTTACTGAAAGCCATATGTTGGTGAGGGTATTAAGACTATCTTGCATCGAAGATAGCTTTTGTTTCTTGGTTACACTGTACTTTTTCTTGGCTTGCAACTTTATGTTGCGTGCCACGTTAGCTGTACCGCTGGTGACTTTGGCCCCAGTGAATTACTTTAGACGGGCTACTTCATAATAAATATCATCCATATAACGTGGTTTCGCAAATTTCAGCCAGTTGCTGTTGGGTCTGCTCCACTTTTTTTTATTACTTTGTCTCGTCTTGTTTGCGAAAATCTGTTGCCATGGCCATTTGCCGGTTTTCCTACACAATTCGCGCTGTATCTGTTTTTTTATTGCTTATTAATTCTTTCATTAATGGCGTCGCCATAATTCATTGAGTCAGTCAGTCGAGTTGAGTGAGTTGGCGTAACTGTCGCAGCTCTATTCACTAATTGCCCATACTACGTATATTTCGACTTTCCCGGTCTGTTGGCCAACTTAGCGCAGCGCCAACTGTTCCCAATTGATAGGAATTCTCCGCTGACTAAGCAATATATATATTATTTGTACTGAAGGCAAAATATAAGAAAAATTACATTTATATATATTTAAATATAGAGCTGCATTTTTCTAGACGTGTATCATTTCCGCTCTGCGGACAAATGTTTAAAAAAATCAATTATGAATAAGAAGAAATAATAAAGCAAAAAAATGAAACACTACAAAGGGCGCCCCCTGGCGTTGGTTTTATGGCTCAGCTGCAGCACCTTTTTTTGTTGAATATGTAGAAAAATAATGAAAATAGCATAAAATTGTGCATTAATCAACATTGGAAGATTAATGATGTGCAGCATGAGCTGCTACCAAAAAAAAAAGAAGACAGAAACAAAAAACCATATTGTTAGACTGCTAACATTGGCAACATGTTGCGTGCTGCAGTTGCATGTGGCGCGCAGTCAGTGCGCTACGCTACCACTGCTGCAGTTGCTTGCCACACACATACGCTCACACTCACATTCAGCCATTTCGACATCATTAGCATTATGTACCAAGAGTAACAGTTACAGTAACAGTAACAGAGCAGCACAGAGTGCTTATTATTATTGCACAGTTAAGTAGCCGCAACACAACATTAGCGGCAGCGTAAAAGAGAGACAATAAAGCATCGGCAGAGAAAGAGAGAGGGATAGAGAGTGTGACAGAGAGAGGAGAGTGCAGTCTGCATATGCTCATTGAATAGTTTTTGGCTCCTTTGCTTGTGTCAACTACATTGAATGTGTGCCTAAAGAGCTATAAATAGAAATTACATAGACGCACATTGTTTTATTTGCATGTTTATTGTAGCTGTGTGAGTTTGTTTGTGTGTGTGTTGATGAGAAGTCTTTTGCTGTCGCTTAATTTGGCATTGTTTTTAGTAGTTTGTGGCCGCTGCCTTTTGCCACCGCCCAAGCGCTCGCGCTTAGTCATTGAGTTGCCGCACAGTCATCTCTTTCTCTCTCTCTTATTGTCTACGCATTATTGAGCATTTAGTTATTTTATTATTATAATGTGCATAATGTAAGTGTGCGTATGGCCAAAAACAGTTAGACCCTGCTGCCAACTAACTGCAGGCCATATTTGTATGCGCTTAATGGCCACTGTCGTCTCTTTGGTTGCCCAGTTTGGGTTTCTAACGAGCTATGTGAGACAACAACGGCGACGTGAACGACGACTCAATACAAGTGATTTGTTGGCTTTGCGCAAAATTTGCGACTCTATAAATTGTCTTTGCATGTTGTTTTCTGTGTGCTATTTTGGATACGTTGAAAATTTATTGGCAACCCCAAACACCACCTGCCCCTGGCCACTACTCACCACATCGCCCCATGGGCAGCCGAAATGCAAATGTGCGCCATCTGTTGAACTTGATTTGTATGTGCTGTTATTGTTATTATTGTTGTTGTTTATGGCACAATTTTGTTTCTGATTTTCAGCAATTTGCACGGCCACACACAAAACAAGAACAAGCACAACTCTCCCCACAGCGTGCTGATCTTGATCACCTTGCCTCGCTTTACTCTTCTCACTCAATATGCCTGCCCTCTTTTGCTCTGTCTATAGTTGACGTCAACGCTCGTGCAATTTCTTCTTTTGCTGCGCACTTTTCACAATTATCATCAGTATTAAAATTCGCCGTGTGTGTGCATAAGTATGTGTTTATGTGCCTATGTGTATGTGAGAAGTGGAGACTGAAAATGTTGATGTCATCGTTGCGTTTTGTTTTGCGTTATTGTTTTTTTGATTTTTTTTCTGTGCAAAGGCAACCAAGAAAGAGAGACAAGCAGAAGCAAACATATACACATACGTATGCATATGTGTGCACACACGTAATTTACCCACAAACAACGAGACCTCCTTCAATGAATAAGTATCGTCCATTGTTATAGTGGCTGCTGGCTAGATGGGCCTGGCGCCGTTGTTCGTCTTGAGTGTCAAAATCATTTGTCAATAATAGAAAAAATCATGCACTTAAATATGAAACCTAAATGCAAACACGCATACATATACACATAACCTACATACACAAAAAAAAGTTAGCAAAAATTTGTTATTTTGCACAAGAGCAAGACAAGTCTGATCGTTTAGCAAGCAATCAGAGGCCGGCCGGCCGGCAAAAGTTGGCAGCGACGCAGCGTTGCCAGACTGTTCGAGACTGACGCATTGTTCAACTGATAAAATGCCAAACAGCCATAGCGCTTGGGAGTGGGAGAGAGAGCGAGAGGGAGAGTGAAATGCCGGTTATTTATAAATGGCAATTGGCATTGCATAATTAAATATTACCACTGATTAATGAAATAATTAATTCTGTGGGCTGTTGCTGGTGACTCATCTGAATTCAGAAGCTGACTAAGCTGCGATTTAACCGGTTCACTTTTCTTTGTTTCTTACCTTATTTTCATTTTGATTTCAACTTTTTCGGCTTCAGCTCACTTTTAGCCCCATTACGCTTGAGCAACAAAAGAAAGCCAGCAATTGAGCGAGTGGGCCAAAAGTGGGCAGCAAAACCGACAAAACACCGGCAACGAGCGGCCCCAACTAGTGGCATTTGCTGGTCAATGACATTTTAAAGCGGCCACAAATGCGACAGCGGCGGCGACTGCGACTGCGACTTCGACGGTGACGTCGGCAGAGCCTGTGACTGCGATTGCTGCTGTGTTCTTGCGCTATGTGCCACAAGAAAAATGCCGGAAAAAATTTTAACGTTAGATTTGTACCCTGTTGGACAGCAACGTCAAAACTAATGCCGAGTCACACCACACGCTTCCTGCCATCTGACTTTTTGCTTTCTGCTTGAGTGTGTGCGTTTGTCGCGCTATGTCATCACTCTTTACTGTAGTTTCTTTTCGTTAGTGTTGTTGCTGCTGCTGCTGCTGCTGGCAATTGTCATGACATTGCCAGCCACGATACTCGCTGCTTTCTCACTTTCACAAGTTCGCCCCAGCGCTGCTGATGTCATTATTATAATTTGTATGCATTAGTAATTCGAGTTGTTCTACATGTGCGTGTGCGTGTGCGTGTGCGTGTGTGTGCGTGTGTATGCGTGTGTATGTGCGTGTTTGTACACAACCCTCACAAATATGCAGACACAGCTGATGAGCAGCAGAATCTGCTGTCTGCTGTGGCTCGTGCCTTATTTGAGGGATGTTGCACTGCGCCCTGCACACGCTCTGTATTTTTTCACTCTCTCTCTCTTTCTCCCATTTTCTCTCTGTGCATTTATCTCTTTCTAACTCCTGGAAGAATATTTCCACTACTTGCTTTTGTTTTATAGCATGCTTCTTGGGGTCGCCCACAATTTGTTAGCAATATACTTAATATTAATATTGATGTCAACATTCGCATTTATGTAACCTTTATCCTAAAAGGGGATTATTTGATCTTGTTTGTTAAAGTTGAGTTTGAAACACGCAAATTAGATCTGAATCATTTGTTTATTATTCTGTCTCTTTCTCGTTTTTTTAATGAATTGTAGTTCATCGAATACAGATGCATTAAATTTGTATTCATCTTATATATTTATACTCATCTGATATTGGGGTGCAAGGGGAGTCTTTCGTTTATTTTGCTGGAAATATATTCGGTTGGCTGCGTTATTTCGCTGGTATTTGCCACGTCCATAAATACTTGTACTTGCGTCTATAGTATGTGGATGAATGTATGTGTATATAAATACAGAAAACAGTTTGTACTTTGTGGTCGCTGCTATTTTTACAGCTTGCACTCAGAGCGCACTTGGTAAGGCGACAGGCTGACAGGCTGGGGGGAAACAGACCATAACATATAACACCAGAAGCAACATTTTCTTGACGCACAATTGCAAACAAGCTGGAAAACCAAAAAATAACGAAATGAGAACAAGAAATTACAAATCTACACCATATTTTTCCAGCGCAAAGACCGAAAAATGAAGACATTTCCAGGGATTTTAGCTTCATGTGCCGGCTCATTGCATTTATCGATTTAACAGGGGACAGCGGGGCGTCAACCGAAGCATTGGGGTATGGGGAGGCCAGATGACGATGTCGACATTGTCTGTGCGTGAAGCAGCCGACAGCCAGACAGAGGCCAAATGCCGTTGTTGTTATTGCTTAGTGCCTTTTGTTTTTGGGTAGCTTGTTCTTGTTAGTCATCATCAGCATCATCATCATCATCATCATCATCATCATCTCGCATCGCCATCATAATCTGCTAAGGGTATTAACATTTCAAATTTATTGTGCCTGATGCATTCCAAGTGGTGCTTTAAGAGATTTGCTCATTCGCATTTATATATCAAGTTATTAATCCATGAAAGCATTTATTAATTCGCTCCCTATCTTTATTTTGCAGGTGGAGTATGCTGAATTCAATACAGCTACCGGCTATGGAGTCCACAGTGAGGAGGAAGCAGCCCCTGCTCGAAATCCATTTGCCTTAGATGAGGTAATGGAGGTGGAGCAGAATCCTAAGGTAGAAACGAACTTTTTAGACGACGTCGAGGAACACTTTACGCAGCAACAGCAAGAACAACCTGTCCAAGAGGAGAAAGAGCAGCTCTTCCTGGAGCAGACTGGACATCAGCAGGAACAGAATTTCCAGGAGGAGACTCACCAGCAACCACAACACTTGCAGGAGGACTCTCAGCTGCACTTCCAAGAAGAACAGAAGCTGAACTTCCAGGAAGAGCATCAGGAGCAGCACTTCCAGGAAGAGCAGCAACAGCACTTCCAGGAGGAGCAGCAACTGCATTTCCAGGAGGAGCAGCAACAGCACTTCCAGGAGGAGCAGCAACAGCAATTCCAGGAGGAGCAGCAACAGCAATTCCAGGAGGAGCAGCAACTGCACTTCCAGGAGGAGCAGCAACAGAAGTTCCAGGAGGAGCAGCAACAGAAGTTCCAGGATGAGGAATACAGTGTGAAGCAACAACAACTTCTGCAGGAAGAGCAGCTGCAGTACTTGCAGGAGGAGCGACAGCAGCACTTGCAGGAGGAGCGGCAGCAACACTTGCAGGACTCGCAGCTGGTCTTCCAGGAGGAGCCGCAGCAGCAAGAAGACTTTATGGCTCACCAGGACCAACATTTCCAGGAGGAGCTGCAACAAGTGGATGAACCAGCTATTAAACAGGAGACCCAAGCAAACTACAACGAACTCCAACTGCAGGATGAACTCATCGAGGAGGTGTCATTTTCGCATCAGCTCAATGCCGAAGCCGCACCCTATACAAATGGCCTAGCCAGCGTTGAGACACCAGAGCCAACACCCGAAGCAAGCAACGAGGAGCAGTTAAAACCGGTGGCTGAACAAGATCCAATTGTGGAGCAGCCAATTCTAGCAGCTCCAGCTGTGGAGCAACCTGTCGAGCCCTTGCAACAGGAGACACCCGCCGTGCTCATCAGCGAGCCCAGCGAGCCAGCAGCTGTTGAGCAGCCACTCGAGGTGGCGCCAGTAGCTGCTGATGAGCCAGCCGAGGTGACACCAGTGGCTGATGTAGCCGTTGCTGCAGTAGCTGCTACAGCCGCTGCAGCTGCGGTCGGCGCTACCGTCGCAGCTGCCACTGCTGCCGCGAAGCCCAAGATCAAGGCTAGCCCCAGTGATTCACTCAAGAAGGCGGCCAGCAAGACTGCAGCACCTACAGCAACGAGCGCAGCAGCCAAGAGGCCGTCGCCGGCTCCTATAACAAAGAGGACCACATTGGGCGCCACAGCTGCACGCCCACGCACAGCACCGGCTACCGGCGCTGTCAAAGCCAGTGCTTCCACAACAACAAGCACGTCAGCAACAACCAAGACGAGCAGCACAACCGCGCGTAAGCCGCTTACCGCCAGCAACACGGCTGGCAAGCCGGCTCCGCGCACCACTAACAGCACATTGAGCAGCGCACGCCCGGCCACGGCTCCCAGCAGCAAGACGGCTGGCAGCCTGAGCAAGACCGCCGCCAAGCCGGCAACAACAGCCGCAGCACGCTCCACTACTAGCACTACGACCACAACTACAGCCCGCAAGTTAGCAAGCTCTACCACATGCAGCAATGCATCAGCAACAGCCACCAAGTCGCGTCTGCAGGTGGCGGCTAGCAAGCCGGCCACAACTTCCAGCAGTCTTGGCGCCACATCCGCTGCCAAGGGGAAGGCCCTGTCACCGCGCAGCACTGTGTCCTCGGCACTGCGTAAGCCGCCGAGCACCACTGGCAGTTTGTGTGGTACGCGCAGTCCCACTAAGCCGCTGTCCAATGGCGTGGCCAAGCCGAGCAGCAGCACCACCACTAGCACCAGTACCACCCGCATCAAATCGGCCACTGCCAACGGCGGCTCTGCCAGCAGCACAACAACAACAACTACCATTACTAAGACTTTCACGGCGCGTCCGGCGCCCAAATTCACACACTCGGCGCCAGCTGTGGGTGCCAGCAGCACGCGTCGCCCCCAGCTGTCCGTTGGCAGCGGCTCAGCTGCTACACAGCGCAAGTCGTCTCCGTTGAAGAATACTTCCAGCTCGCCGCTGAAACCGAAAGCCAAAGAAATCGCTAAAACGTCACCAGCTGCCGGCATGAAAATCAAGCGGCCAACGGGCACCACACCAGCAAAGGCAGCAGTCGGCGCAGCACCAGCAGCCGCAGCAGCCGTATCAGATGAACCACAATCAACTCCCGCTGCCAATGGCTTGAACGAGGCGGAAACCAAACTGGAGCAGAATGGCAATGGCTTGCACGATGCACTCGAGACGGCGCAGGAGGCACTAGGAACCCACGTAGAGCCGCAGCAGACGAACCCAGAGGTGGCACTGCTCGATTTCTAGGCGGGGCCCAGCTGCAGCCGAAGATGAGTTGATCAATAATGGAGTTAAATAAAAAAGAAACTACTTTACTAATATTATAAACATATTATGAAAAAGTATTTTGCGCATGAAAAGCGAACTGCGAAATTTTGCGACCCCTGCCTCCTCTTCCATTTCCAAGTTGTGGCTCAGTGGAGCGTCCATTTATTTTTTAATACATACATATATATATATATATGCCTCCCTTTCCAAACACAAACTGCTCCAACGTTATTTTGTGTGGCACAATTGCGATCTTTCCAAGCCCAAAGTCGATTAGTGTTTGTGCTATTTTGTAAAGGTTTTTCTCTTACTGTGCTCGCTTCTTTTGCTCATTTACATAATTTTGGTTAATTTTTTTTTAAATTTTTTATATTATAATTGTTCCTCACGCTCTGTTTTTTTTTTCTATTTTGTTGCTCATGTATTAAACGAACAATTTTTATGTGTCTATTTAAGTTGAAAACGAGAAAGAATCTTTGGAGCGCAAAAAAACGAAACAACAAAAAAAAAAACAAAAGATTTAAAGTGTTTTATAAGAAGCATACAAAAAAATTTAAAACGCAAGAAGAAGAAAATAACGAACAAAAAAATATATATATAGTAAACACTTATACAAGAGCATGTGGTGTAAGTGTAGCCGAAAAAAGAAGGAAAATTATAAATGTAGCTCGTAGTTGGCATTCTAACACGTAATATTTGAAATATCAAAACTAATCTACAAAAAAAAAATATATGAAAAAAAAAACAAAAAATGATCGAAAAAAGCGCAGCTATCGAGAATTTGGTCAGAAATATGTTGAACTGAACCACTGTGCGCTATAAAAAAATTTTGATGATAGAATTTGATGTGTTTTTTACTGTCAACATTTTTTAGGGTGCTTCCTTTAAGTGCACTCCCCAAGAAACACACACACACACACACATTGTATACGCAGCATACAAACATTTATACGTTCCTCCAATTTACTTAAAAGTTGATCATCAAACTGAAAATTTGTAGTGCAGTGTTTGTGCAGCTCATTACCCCCCAGTGCTACGTCGAGAGGAAATGAACAGAAAGACAGGAGAGAGCAAGCCAAAATTGATTTTAGACCGTTCTGTTCAGCGCAAACACACACACATAGACACACACACACACACACACACAGATTTTGATTTGTATTGTATTATTAATTTTTAATTTGTTAATTATGCAGCGAAAAGATCTAGCACAAGCTGAACATTTAATGTAACTTTTGCACACTTTATACTTTATGTTTAAAACGATATTACCAATTAAAAATTAAAAGAAAAACCAACAAAAAAATCTCAAACAAAAACCTTATGAAACTCTTTTTATTTTGTTTTATTTCGAGTATTTTTGCTTTAATTATGATTTTTATTTGTTTGCAAACAAGTGCTTTAAGTCCCATATAATCTAGAGAGAGATAGGGAGAGAGAGTTATTGGAGAGTTACCAAAAAGCGTCAACGATTCGAATTTATTGTACGTAATTATTATATGCATTGAGATACCAATTTTGCCTGCTTTTTCGTAACAGTTTCCAAGTGAACCCACAACTGCATATATTATTAGACGTTAAGTTGCTAGATTTGAAAGTTTCTCTATATATACATATATAGAAATACATAAATGAAATTTACAATGCGTACGCATGCCTAACGCTCCGATTGCTTTATAAACAGAGGCAAAGATACATCTACTTAAATAGTTAATAATCGTATTTATTCAATTTGCGTTATGGTTTGCATAGTCCCGCCCCAGTGCCCTTCACTTTCGTTTGCCTTATTATAACTAAATTGCTAAGTTTAAAGCGTAAGCTAAATTATAATTACATTTATTGCTAAATACAAATATGGACAAAGCAAAAAATAAGTCGACAAAAAATGAGTAATAGAGTTGTAGACCAGGCGCCTTGCCCCGCCCCGACCCGACCACTCTCCATTGACAACCCCCCCGAGAAAAGAGGCAAAAACCATTCACGGCCGTAATTTGTTAAGCTTGACTTGGCACAGAGCCCGTCAAGTTCGGAGAGAGAGACTGATCCAAGTGATTCATTCATGGGCCAACAGTTGCCGTTTCGTACCGGGCTTTGGGGCAGGGTCGCTGTCTCTGTCTCTGGGCCCGTTTACCGTTAGTTGTCTGAAAGTTTTCTTGCATTGCATTTAGACGATATCAAATCGAACCGAATCGAGTCGAACCAACATTTTTGAAGCATTTATACTAACTGGGTTGCAAACACACATACATATATGGTATATCCAAAAACGACTTATATACGTAGCTCTAAATATTATCCATTAAAAAATATATAAAAGTGTATTATTAACAAGATGATAACAAAGAGAAAGCAAAACTAAGTAAATGCTATTACTATCAATACACACACAAATACATATTATCACAAATATACAAGAGAAGCGAATTAACTGATACATTCACCTACATATAGCCATGACTATGGTGCATACATACATACATACATACATACATACTCGTACATCAAATATCAAGTCAACAAGTACATATTGTGAACGTGTAGCAGCAAATGGATAAACCAATCTGAAATGAACCGATATTGCAAAAACAATTTATTACTAATAAATGTTAAATATACAAAATCAACTAAAGATCGAAAGCTGTCTTTTCTTTGGGACTTGGGTACCAATAACTATGCTATAACTTGAAATACTAAACAGTATATAATTCAGAAGTGGCTTAGGGGACTTGCTGCAACCAAACAAAAAAGGGTGCTCCAGTCGAAACGGCTCGCCTACGAGATACACTGAATCCTGCCATTCTACGCTTCTTCTTCACACACACATTGCAAACAGCACATGCATACACACATACACACGCACACATAAGTACGCGCTCTGCTTACTGCGCAGTTGACGCAGCGACTGCGCTTGGACTGCGCTAATAGAAACTAAATTGCTGAATAATTTTTCTTCTAAACGCGCTTTCGTAGTGAAATTAGCAGAGCATAATCATAGCAAGTTCTCAAGAATATATATAAATGGGGGCTGCCACGCTTCATTCTGTCTGTTACACAATTTTTTAAATTTTTAGGCTAAAGACTCCTAACAAGATTATATAATCTTAAGGATTACAATTATGGGTCTTAGTTTATAATTAAAGTGAAGCAAAATCGAGTTGACTCTTTATAAATTAAAATAAATCTATTTTTTATAATATAGGTATTCTCATGAGCTTACTGATCTTTTATTGATAAGCTGTATACAGGATATTTAGGTGCGGGGGGACGTCAAATATAGCCCAAGATAGATTTGAAGTATTGACTGAGTTTTTCGGATTTCTGATTTGGATTTATCGTGTCGAAAAGCTTTACTTCAATGTTGTCTAATTATTTATTATTAAGTCTGGTTTATCTGCGTAATTAGTCTTAATGCGTGCTTGATTAAAAGCTTAATTATCTTAATAATCACGTGAATATGTTTTCAATTAGGAAAACTAATTTCACAGCGAACAGTTGTCACTCTTTGTGTGAAATGAAATCAGGTCTAATTGATTGAAATTCTCTTTATGATTGGGCGGAATATTTAAAAATTGATGTATGCTAAATTATTTTCAGTTGAATATACCGTTGACTAAGATTGCACCTGATGTCAGCTCTATATCACACGACTCGAAAGCAAATACTCTTTTGAATGGTTCAAGTATTATTAATGACTGATGCCATTTAAGCACAAAAATATATATATATATATATAACTATATACATATATATACACACACATATATATATATTATATTTTTTTTAAGACTGCTCTAAGATAAACATAATTTGTTTATTACTATAACATTCATAAGTGAATCATTCACAATCAACTATGTAGAGTACCACATGAGTGGGATGTGGTTAATTGAAAGCAATTAATATTTTTAGAATATATATTTAATAGAGTATAAGCCAGAATGAAGCTCTTAATATTAGTTAAAATTTAGGCGCATAAATCAACTAAGACTTTAGTTTTATTAGTTGCCTAATGCTGATAAGAATAAGATTTCGAAGACAAGTTTGATCAAGTTTGGATTTATATGATCAGATTTAAGATATGTACTTGCTAACATATAGTCAGATATATACTAAATATAATGCAGACAGACTTATACTTTATACCTGTAGAGGGACATCATACTTGAAAGTTGGTTAGAAGTAGAAAAGGTAACTGAAAATGACAAATAGTTACCCATTCCCAACTGGCCTCACACGTAAAAATTATAAACAATTAGCTAAGTATGTTTCTGCAATTAGTTAATACGGCTAGCAGCGCATTTTTGTTATCCTTGCCACAGCTGGCTGCAAGGAGCGGCGCCATGAACTGCGCTCGTTACTACTGTGTGACTCAGCCGCGCCTCTTGTTGACCCCTTTGTTAATTTGCATTGAGCCGAGTGGTGGATGGGATCGCAATGAGCTAAGATGCGAGGACGATGACGAGGACAGCGACTGCGGTGCAATGGGAGCGCCGCTATGCAGGTTGGAGAAAGAGAAATGAAGCGTGCTTGCGTGTGAAATTGGCTGACTTGGGCTAGCATGAATCACCCAAGTCTCGAGCGACGACAGCGCGCGCAAAGTGTAATGAATCATGTGCCAATGGGAGCCGGCAGCAGGCACTCAAAGTGGTTAAACACTAACACTCACAACACATATGCACATTGACATTCAGGTTTTTTTTTTCGGTGTACGTGTTGGAAATTTGCAATTTATTTCTCGTTGGGTCTTACAGGTTTTTATTTTTGGGCAGAGTCGCTGCCCGTAAAAGCAGCAAAATTGTTCAGCAAATGCGCGTTGCCGGCAAATGCCAACAATTAGCGATACTTGACTTTATTTGCATGTCATAAAATATTCAAACACATAACGTGAATAGGAGGCACAGACACCTATTGCCGCTTATAAAACTAAAATCAATGCACTGTTTGAAGATGCATTGGTCTCTGGGTTACTTTTATAGACTTAGAACTACGGATTTAAGACGGCTTAAGTAAAAACATTAGATCTTCTTGGCCTTCTTAAAATGTTTCGGAGCCGAACCATTGTCCTGCGCTGGGCGTTTGTTAAATGGCTTGTTCTTCTGCTTTTGGTTATTGCCAAACTTATTAAATTTGGCTGGACCCCCAGCTGGTGGACCACCAGCAGACCTTCCTTGGGGCTTGATTCCAGTTTTCTTATTGATAATCTTGAGTTTAAGCAAAGAATTTGGCTCCAGGAAAATTGGCTGGCCTTGCACAAGACGCTCATTAAACAGGAAGGATTTGCAGAAACCATCGTCATTGGTGAATTTAATAATCGCCTTGTTGGGTAGCATTTTGATGCTTTCAATTTCTCCAGCTTCACTGAACACTTCATTTAGCTCCTGTTCTTCAACGCCTAAGGATATCAAAATAATTATTAAGTTATTATTAATTGCTAAATGATAAGGTAATTGAATGATTACGTACTCGGTGCCAAGTTCAACACAATAATAGTGCGGGCCGAGGAACTGTAGTGGTAGGGCTCTAATTTAATCTCCAGATCGCTTACAGTCTTGCCATTTAGCTGTTTCGTCGCCTTTTCGGCCTGCTCAGCAGTTTTGTATGTAACAAAGGCTAAAACACTGCGTGTGCATACAGTATCAATGTCTACAATCTCGCCGTATTTCTTGAAGATCTTCTCAATGGTATCTGGTTTGAAGGATTCATGATTGCCTGTGTTTAGGATGGTCAATGTACATGATGGCGACTTCAGCTGTTTGTTTTTGTACGCCTCCTCACGAACTGTTATGAAGCGGGACTGGAACTCACTACCATGCAATTTGAGGGCTTTGGGCACCGAGCTAACTGAAATGAAACGCACATATGCAGTGGGCAGTGCGCGATTGTTGGAAAAGTTAACAGATTCAATGGCACCACAACTTTTGAAGTGCTCTGAAATTTTGTCCTTGGTGGCATTGGATCCAATCAAACCCACGACAACAGTGCGCTCATTCAGTTCACTCTTATTGTGTGGACGAGACACAGTCACGACTTGGCCGCTAAGCGTCAGTGCCTTCGGCTTGGCAGCCAGAGCGGCATCAACAGCTTCGGGAGACTCAAAAGCAATGATTACGTTGTTGCCGCCAGCCTTTGTCTTAATTCGGTTGACAATGGCAATCGGTCCAAATTTGGTAAACAAGCCAACGAGTTCCATGTGCTTATATTCTGATAGAAATAAAGAATATTAAAATACATACATTTACAAACTGGTATTTATAAAGCGCCTGAGCTTTATTTCACCTACCATTTGGGAGTCCACTAACGAAGATAATTTGATCCTTGGGTGTTTCATGTGGAATACGACCAACGATAACTTTAGGTATGCCAGCCTTCTTGGAGGCATCTGCTTGTTCCTTCTTCTTTACAATTGCCTCTTCAGTAGGCTCTTCATCAGAATCGGCTTCCTGATCCTCGTCATCATCAGATTCGTTGGCTGATTTTGAGGCCTTTGAAATCTCACCAGGTTCGACTTCATTTTCATCGTCGTCATCGTCATCCTCATCATCCTCTTCATCATCTTCTGCTTCCTCAGCTTCATTGTCTATCAAGTCTCCTGCATCAGCAGCCTGAGAGAAATTATAAGCGCGTGGTGTTGCCATTAGATTGTCTTCATTATATTTAATCATTTACATACCTCAGAGTCACTGCCATCATCAAAGTTAACTCCATTCTGCTCCTCGTCGGCGTCTGAGTCGTCTTCGTTCGCGTCTACTTTCATTTCAGGCTTCTCCTCTTCAACCTGCTTTGCTTTAGGGCCGCGCTTGTTGTTGCCTGCAGGCTTCTTGGTACCCAGCTTCTTTTGAGCCATTTTTAAAGTTTATTTCACTATTATAAGCGGAAAACTGTGAATAGCGCGTGTTTCAGTATGCTCAAACGCACGTGGAAAAGAATTGAGAAAAAGTGTGGCCGCCATATCTAGCGAGAAAAATATTTATTTGCACGCAAGTGGCAGCACTGAATCAGTGTTGGTTACTGACAATGTGAACTAGTTCATTCATGTATTATGCAACACTGTAAACACTAGATGGCGACAGAAGAAGTTGTGTGGCGCTGTTGCTCATTAAGTATACATAAAAAAAATTAAATTACACACATATTTATTATTAAAAGTGCTTGAAAACAAAGAGAGAGCGTTAGCAAATACGAACAACAGAAGTAACAGAACCAGCAAGAGCAGCAGTGGCGGCACGCAGTGAGCAGCAGCGTTTACGAACACCAACGCAGCAGAGACAGAGGCAGTAACAGCAGCAGCAGCAGTAATACAACGTCCAGAACGACGTTGACGGTGACGGCGACGACGACAATGAACACACTGAGCGCTAACACGAATGGAAGCGGAGCTGGCGCAACGGGGAATGGCAACGGCAATGGGAATGGCAACGGCAACGGTAACGGTGGTAGCTCCACTGCCAATGCCACAATAGCCGGCAGTGCAGTCAGCGGGGGAGGCGGAGTAGGTAACCTTGATGAACTTGGTGGCGATGCCAGTTCGCGCCGACAGGCGACACGAGTATTCAAGAAGAGCTCATCGAATGGAAAAATCACAGTCTATTTGGGCAAGCGCGACTTTGTGGATCATGTCACGCATGTGGATCCCATTGACGGTGTTGTTTTTATTGACCCGGAGTATGTGAAGGACCGCAAAGTGTTTGGTCAGGTACTGGCTGCCTTTCGATACGGCCGTGAGGATCTGGATGTGCTGGGGCTAACGTTTCGCAAGGATTTGTATTTAGCCCACGAACAAATATATCCGCCTATGCAATTGGAGCGGCCCATGACGAGATTGCAAGAGCGGCTCATCAAAAAGCTAGGACCCAATGCACATCCATTTTACTTTGAAGTGCCGCCCTATTGTCCGGCCTCGGTGTCCTTGCAGCCAGCACCCGGCGATGTTGGAAAATCATGTGGTGTCGATTATGAACTAAAGGCTTTCGTGGGTAAGTTTTTCGTGGCATTAATGTGTTTGTGTGTGTGTGTGATAGAGAGAGGTGAAATCAAAAATAATTCTTGGCCCGCGCCTTTATCTGAATGCATATGTATGTGTAATACATACATAGTAAATATTTTTATTATAAAAAAGGAATGTATGGCTTTGTTAGTTGGCGCATGTGTCACGCGCGGGGTTAATTAATCCAACTGCGTCGACTGCGCAAAATGTCATTGTATATTGATGACGCAGCGCAGCCACCTAATTGGAATTCGACGCTTCTAATTGGAATTCGACTCTATTGCTCTCGCAGTCGCAGTCGCAGTCGTGGTTGCTTTAATTAGGCGTCTTTCCGCTGACGTTCAACGTTTTTTCCTACATTCAGCACTTACATAAATGCTTCTTGGAAACTCGACGCAGCTGGGTATCTTTGTTTTTTTAGTGCTTAAGTAAGCTAAAAAGGAAAAAAATAAATAAAAAACTACAGCAGCAATGACCCAAAAGCGTAATTACCGATCCCTCTCTACCCGTACATACGCTCTCCTGCTTCGTGCTCATCTTTCGCCTTGCGCCTCTCATTCTCATTTTGCAACAATAACGAAATTGACAACAACGAAAATAATGAAGAAGAAGAAGCAGAAGCTTATACAGCGTATTTAGCAGCGATTTATTGGGAGTTACGCGCGCATGTTTGCGTTTCGCACGCGCATTCGCATCTCTCACTTGGGATCTCCTCTATGCGCTGTGCTGCTCTGCTCCAAACTCATGCTGTCCCGCTCTAGCGTCTCTTGATTTTACATTTTTGTTGGTTTTATTGCGCATAAATTGCTATCTATGTACAGATGTGTATGTGTGTGTGAGTAAGTGTTTGTGTGTTTAGTATTGTGCCCACTTCGCTTAGTCCGTTAATTTTTGGTGGTTTTATTGCCCGGCGTCGACGTTCTTATCTGGCAACAATGCTGTCTATGGCGGCGCCACTGCCCCCGCTGCTGTCACTGCCAATTTGTGTGTAACCATAAAGAGATTATTGAAAGCGAACTTGAGCCAAATGCCAATTGGGTGGGCTTGAATGGGCCACCCTCTATCGCACAATGTATGCGAATTTGTAGCACGCCCCAGACATTAACGTTTGCCGAATATATTATATAGATACACATACACATGTACTTCTACATATGTGCATGCATATGCCATGTACATACATATGTGCGTTTATATTTCCGTAAAGATCAAGCAATTAAAATTATAAATAAACAATTTTAGAATTTGCTCTAAACTTTTCCAGAACATCAGCCCAGTGACTTGCACGATCGTCTCAAAAGTTTTGTATGGCAATTGTACTCACAGCTTTTAACAATAACCGGCTTTGCCCGGCCCAGGTGTTTATAGAAAACTATAGTCATTTTCTATAAAAAAAGAGCTGTAAATCAATGTTTGAAACGGTTCGATTTGTAATAAACCAATCTCCTATGCAGTCTCTCTTTATGTGCACACCATTTTCATGATTTCATTATATATAAGTCCCAACTAGTTAGGATCAGGAACTCCAAATTGTTGCTGAGTACAAAACAGATATTTGATCAGTTTAATATTTGATTAATTACTACATTGTGCTTGAAAGCTACAACGGAATTTGTTGTAGATAGATCCAATTTCTTTCATTTTAATAATAACAAATAAATGAATACAGACACAATTATTATTTACATATGATATCAGACAAATGAAACAATATTCGAGTCGTTGTTAATTAATTCGTCAGAAATGTATTGAGCTGTCATATAACAGTTGGATTCTATACGTCGATCTGTTCTAAGGGCATCTATGATTCTGGTATGAGTACTAGATGTTTTTATTTACTTGGCATCTGTTGATTTGTTTATTTGATGTGCTCAGCCCCGGTTTGGAGCTGCCATGTTTTTGGCATAAACAATGAACCCTGCACAGCCATGCCTCCGGCTCCCCGACAGACGCCAACAAGCGGCAATATTTATGATCTCAAAATGGAAAGTATTTTAAATTATTTTCATTTCATTTCATTTAAAATTGAGGCAAAGAAACGAACGATTCTTTTATAGCAGCTTCCCAGTACCAAGATAATGGTGCGTCATTTATTTTTACACACATTCTCTGTTATAATCCCATATGCTGATAGTTTCGACAGTGAATCATCTGGTTACTAAGCTGTATTCAAATTGTGACGCACACAAAATAGAGTTTGACACACCCCCAGCAGAAATATGCATAAATATGTGACTTATTATGCAAGTGTGTGTGTGTGTGTATGTGTGTGTTTGTTTGTGTGAGATAAATATAACATGTAAATACGTCATCAAAACTCGCTGAGTCCAAAGCTAATGCTCTTTGTATATTTATCTAACGATAGGCGAGCACATTGAGGACAAGCCACACAAACGAAATTCGGTACGTTTGACGATTCGGAAGGTGATGTATGCACCATCCAAGGCCGGCGAGCAGCCCTCGATTGAGGTGAGCAAGGAGTTCATGATGAAGCCGAATAAAATACATTTGGAAGCGAGCTTGGATAAGGAGCTGTATCATCATGGCGAAAAGATATCAATCAATGTTCACGTGGCTAACAATTCCAATCGCACTGTCAAAAAAATCAAGGTGTGCGTTCGCCAGTTTGCCGATATTTGCCTCTTCTCGACGGCTCAATACAAATCTGTAGTGGCCGAAATAGAGTCGGAGGATGGTTGCAGTGTAGCGCCTGGCTTTACGCTCTCCAAGGTGTTCGAGTTGTGCCCCCTGCTCGCAAACAACAAGGATAAATGGGGCCTGGCGCTGGATGGACAGCTGAAGCATGAGGATACAAATCTGGCCTCAAGTACGCTAATCACCAATCCCGCACAGCGCGAAAGCTTGGGCATTTTGGTGCATTACAAGGTTAAGGTGAAGCTACTTATTGGCTCGCCACTGTTGGGCGGAGACTTGGTTGCCGAGCTACCATTCACGCTGATGCACCCCAAGCCCGAAGAGGAGGAACACCCGGTGCTGGGAGATCGCTCGCCGCGCGCTAGCCTAGCAGCGCCGCTGCTTAGCCTGGGCGATGCTGTTGACGCAGGCGCCGGGGCATCCTCAGACCAATCGGCAAAGGATGTGCCCACTACCACAAACCTCATACAGTTGGATGACGATGAGGCCCAAGACGATGATATTATCTTCGAGGATTTTGCGCGCCTTCGCTTAAAGGGTGCCGAAACAGAGGCCTAGACATTGCAAGCCAATGTCTGTCCACTAGTTGATTGTGGTGTTGCTTCGAGCAACTACAGTTTTAGACCCGTAGACATGCGTACGCGCAATATTTATTGTCCAACTATATGTATATATGCATACATATATATCCAAAAATATGGCATTTGTATCATACGATGTTTATGCGCAGCCTCTGATTGTAAACTTTGAATGCATAGCCACGGTACATAGTTTTATATTGCTATTGGTATGTGTAGGCCATACGTTCTAGTATCTATAGTATTTAAGCTGAAAGTGTACGAATTTTTTGAAAATGTGAAATTGTTTAACAAATACACATATACACACACCACACACACAAGCCCCTCAAATACACCGACCAACTAAGACGCCTCTAGAAATGGCAATTATGCACAAAACTTTTAAAATTTATTATTGTAAATGTTTACGCTAATGTTTATTAAAAATAGAAAATGAGAAAACACGCGCAAATCTTTGTTAAAAGCCATACAAAACAGCAGTGACAGTAAGCAGAAATTTATTGAGTTTGATTATTTCGGTTATTGTTGCACCGTAACTTTTATAAACTGAAGTTGACAGTCATTTTGTATTTAACTATATGCCAAAATATACAAGCTTACCGATAGGCATAGAATGATAATCTAAATACGTTTATGTAATTAAATAATAAAGTAATTAAAATGAACAGAAACACCAATCCGATTGCAAACGGACGTTAAGTGTTCACGGTTTTCCAAATAATTCACATAAATACATTGATATGCAGAAATAAATACGAATATGTAAACTGATTTTGAATGTTGAATGCTGTATCTAATGCCGGCTAGTTAAATGATATGCATTAAGTTGACTTCCAAATCCATAATTTAGTAATTCAGTTTAATTGATACTGAGCCTCACTGCTCTTCGGGAACACATACTGTGAACGAACTTTTAGTGATTTTTGTTCAGCTAATAATGTTTGCTTGCAATAAATTGATTAGGTTTTGGTTTGTCTCAGTTTCGCATTTACAATGTAATTTGCACCGAACAATAGATAAGAGAATTAGCGTTATCAGCAAATCGCAATATTAGATAACCGAAAGGCTTATCATGAAACGCACAGAATGTGTGTGTGTCGTCTGTTAGTTATTTGGATAGTGTGTGTATTGCTCGGCAAGCCGATTATTTTTAATTATTTAACATTCCAGCACGCGATTTTTTATTTAGAATGTTAGATAGTGGGTAGACGTGGAGAGGAGTTGAGCAGGGATCAAGACCCTATATGATATCACGTATGATTGTGTACTCGAATATATGTCAATGTGTAACAAAATGGCTTAGTGAATCGAAATTGAGGAAACGAAATTGAACTCGAATACGAAAAGCAATTTTTAACTAGAAAATTTATATATACATACATAAACTATATTAAATATTTAGCTATCTATCAGAGGCGCACTAATATTCAATTTACCTAACATATTGAATTGTAAAAATTAACAAAACAATATACATATATATACATATATATTTTTGACATTATTTCAAATATCATGTGAATACAAATACAAGGCAGTGTACAATTTAGTTCCTTTTATATTGTTTGGCGCTTAATAATGAGGGAATTATTGTATTGCCCTAGCTCTAAATACTATTTATGTACTTGTAAGATCGATTAAAATATCTGTTTTCCAAATATGATTTCGCTAAAGGCTTTTAAGTGACATTCACGATTGTGAAAGTAGCTCGAATTTGTTTTCAGTGCCCCAAAAGCAGCAGAATTGCTGCAACATAATAGTGAAATCCAATGGAATATATATTTTAAATTGCATTTTTATAACGCGTATATTTAGATATACATACATACATACATAGCATAAGTTTGTTAGAAGGTTTTTTATCACAAAGCGAATACAGCAGCAAAAATTACAAAAATATATTCAAATATTAACATAAATGTGCATTACAAACTGGTAAAATGGATACAATATAGAACAATTCAAAATATTATCTAGATAAGTCAATAAATGTGAACAAAAAGTAAATTATATACATATACATGTATATATATGTATTTATATACACATAGCTTTAGTAAATGTTTATGAATATGTTTTAAATATGAATATGTATGTCCCAACATATGTAGCGCAAATGTAACGCATTTATGTATGTATGTCTAAAATATTATTATATAAAATAATATATTTAAATGAATGTCCCACTAAATCAGCTTATCAAGAATTTTTCATAATTATTTTTAAACCTTTTTATAATACATTTTATATTTATACAAAAAGAAGAAAAAGAAAAACAAACAACAAAAAAAAATAAGGATTGATCCTGTTTGTAGCTGCACAAAATAAGGAAATTAATTGTATTTTTAAAGTACATTTTTGTCTGGTACCAAAATGCATTCAATTTGATAATTGTTAATGTTTAATGTATAAGTACATAATAGTGTGCATAAATATTAGCTATTAGAAATGATGTGCAGTGAAGTGAAGAGTATTATGAGCTGTTACCTAGCCCACACAGAAGCCCCCACGTTTATATATATATACATATATCAAATAACTAACCAGAAACTATAACTATTTGCATACATTCATGAATATACGTATATATTTACATAAATATACATTCTCTATGTACAATATCATCAATGAAAGAATCGAAAATTGGTTGAATATATTGCTAAACTAACCCACGCGTGTCATGGAGCATAAAGCTTAGAAACTCAATGTGTAGAAAGGACAACTAATCAATTAATATGATATCCTGATATGCAGTCCATGTGAATGTGGTCGAATGAAGACCCTATCACAGGAGGACATTAAATGTTGTAAGACGAGAATTATTCAATAAATTGGAGCTGTGTCCGCTAAGTGTGAAAAGATATTAAACGTGTAAAATGTCACCAGCATTTCATATATATATATATATATGTAAACTTGTTATCAATTTTCTTTTTCTGTTGGCAACACGCGCTTAACTGGTCCGACTTATAAATACATTTATGCAATTTGTATAACCAAATTAGGTTCGCTGTTTGATAAACAGATCCAATATATTTGTAATGGCCCGGCTAACACTAATCTATTAATTACATTACACCTATAGTTTTATATATTTAAACTGTCATCGTTGTTGCACCTTTTAGAATATGTAATGAATTATGAAATATTTATGATGTACTCCGACAGAGAGCGCAGCGCGACGATTTGCAAATTGAATAATAATCATTTGCATTTCGCTTTGCCCAGTAAGTAGCCATATGCGAAGGTAGAAAAAAGTGCGCGAATAAATGTGGGTCATGGAAGCGTATGAATTGAATGAAATTATAAATAAATACTAAAGCATATATAAACAAAGTATTGCTAATTGTGAACAACACGAACGAAATGCAAGCTGATTAAATAAATACATAAAAAAAGGTGCGTTTTATATGAGTGCAAAGCTAATACAGTCAGTCGCACGGTAAGCGAGCAGCGACTAATTGAAGGAAATATTGGTGTGTACGTGTATTGCGTAGTATTTAAATTGTTAAAGCAAATGCATTGAAATGTTCTAATGGAGCTTGTGGCATTCAAATTGGCCCATTAATATCCAAAAATACCCGAAAATTAGCGTAACTGTTTCAGACCTCAAATATGTGTATGGGCAGAAAGAAGGTATTATAATTTATGCACTTCGCATTACCTAATAATTTATTAATGTACAATGGACCTGAAAAGCGGCCTTGTGGCTTAGACTGTGCACCGGAAGCAGACAGACGGAGACGGAACTGGGTGACTGATGATGAACCCGTCAGACTCTGGCGTGGCTTGCTTGTATGGGCGAATGGGCATGTGGGTTTGCGGGTGTGTGGGTGTATAAACCAAGAAACGGAAAACCGCAATACGAAAAAGCCATTTACTGTTTGTTGTTTGTTTAGTCCGCGCTATTATGAGCACTTAAAACTGGCTGCAGCAATAACAATAAAGGGCTTTGGAAGGGCACGTAATATTTTGGTTGATTCATGGCGCTGTCTTGGGGGCCGTGTCAGGTAGCGACCACTGAACTTGTCACAGGGACTCGGGCAACTCGAACAATTCTACATTTCCGGTGAAGCTTAAGAGCCGTGCTTCCTTCCCATTGCCTTGCTCCTCTCTCATATCTGTGTACCTGAACGAGGACGCGTCGACAATCTACAAGGACGACGAGCATATGGCTGCAATCGCTAGGTTCAAGCAAAAAGTCCAGCAGCTTCGCCAGCTTCACCGAGCGGAAGTTGTTCGCCTGCCCAGCCCAGAACCGAATCATTCGGTACCCCCACGCTACACACCATGTGCTTTACACACTGTATGGTTTTCATTTCCGGTTTCCGTTGTTGCTGAGTTACTTAAGCGGATTACAGCAGCAGCAACAGTAGGAGGAGCAGCAGCAGCAGCAGCAGCATCAGCAAAGAAAGTGGCTAAAAACAACGAGGTCCAGTTTTGTCTATTTAAGTAGTTCTCGAGGACATGGACGCTTCTTGTGCTTAGATTGTCTAATACTGATGACCATTTTCATTTATATAGGCTTGAAGCGATTCAATAATTAAGCGAAATGAGTGATTTAATCGATTTGAATATTTATTTGTTTTAAAACAATTTCAAGCTTTTAGGCTGAAGCATTACAGTTTTCACTGGTCCATGACTTGGCGGTATTAACAAAGAACGAGGTAATCTGAGTCATGCTGAAATTGGAGAGCATATTGTTCATCGGAGGAACTACATACTCGGCCACAATTTGATCCATGCTGGGCTGTATCTCCTTAGCCAAAAACGCTAACATTTGGCTGGACAAGCCATCGTAAAAGTTGTTGGCCGAAATATTCCACAGTGAGTCCCAGTTTTCGATCTTCACTTCGCCAACATAAAAGTTGAGCTTAACATCCTTGAGGCGCAGTCCATTGGAGTTAATGAGGCTCTGGGCAAAGGTGTATTCGCCGACGATGCGTAATTGCTCCAGTCGTTCGTTAAGCAGCATGTTTTGGTTCATGGGGAACGAGAAACCAAACATGTTGAAAACACCTTCCATTATGGTGGATCCCAGAATTTGCAGCTCCGGGAACAAGAAGTCGAAGTTGACTTGGAACGTGTTCGGATCCATTTCACCATTCAGGATAATGAAGTTGCTTAGACCGGAGATGCGAATGTTGCTCACGTTGCCCACAATACTTGTCTCTCCTCTGGTGTAGTTGAAAGTGGAGAATTCGTTGGTGATCGGATCCATGACGGGAATATTTTGGGCAGCACAGCCATTGGGTGCCATCGTCTTGAAGGCCTGCACGAATATGTTAAAGGCGTTAGTGTAGCTGACCGTGCTCGTCAAGGGCGAGGCACAGGTGGTGGCCACTAAGAGACCCAACAGGAATATTTTTGCTATCATTTTGCTCGATTGTTTCAGAAGCTCTGCGAAATTCAGCTCGCGCAACTACCTTTTTATGGCTGTATCTTTATCTATGTACCGTACAATTGGGGATATGATTGATTACGTGTTGTTGCGGCCTTTTTTTGGAAAGGGTTGTGAAAAGACTTATAAATTAGTCACAAGTCATACTGCCAAATTGATTTTCATCGGGATTCACTCCATCGTTAATATAGTTTTTATCAACTGAAATGCTTTTCCTTAGCTAATCAAATCTAAATGAATATGGCACAAACACCTGTTGTCTTCAAAATTTTAGAACTTCAATTTGTTATGCTCGATAACAAAGTGATAAGTACATTAGCTTTTGTATAATGTCCGTCCGTCTGTTAGGTTTGTTCGCTATACATTTCAAATTTTTAGTATATACTCGTTGCTATAATCTAGAGACTTGGCATTTAAAATGTATGCTCCCCTAAGTCCAGTGGCAATTTGGGTAAAACTGTTGATTTACTTACATGGAAGTAGATAGTTATATCTAAAATAGCCGACATCCTCCATAGATATATGAAATTTATATATGATATTGTTTGGAAAAAAAATGTAATTGCTTTTCGATCGTAAACTATCCAATTCTAACTGCTTATACTCATTTAAAAAGTAAACTAAGTGATTTAGCTGCTAAGGAAGCTAGCGACTTGCAATTCGGAATATGTACGCGTTGGTATCCCTGCCTTATAAAGTGTTAAGGTTTTCACGATATGTCGACTAGACGCCTCTCAAATTTGCACATAGTATAGTACTAGCATTGACAACCCAAGATCAAGAGAAAATAGTGGATATATTTAACCCCATTGGGACGTAACTTCTGAAAATTTGTCACCGCAGTTACTGTTAAGCTCCTGAAAAAATCGAATTATGTGTGCAAACCGTAAGTGCGTGGCAAATCAGATCTGGCTAGAAGTGTTTTTTACAAACTCTGTTATATTTTGAAATTTGGCACTCGAGAGTAGACCTCCATCTAAAAATATATGGACTACATATTTACGGATATAGTCGCATAAATGTAATAAAGGTACTTAAAAATTCGATTATTAAGTTACTGTTGATCTCCTTAATTGATGTACCAAAAATAGTTTCTAAGAATTGACGAACAGCAATTTATCCCCGCCTACTGGAGCTTGTATCAATATAATTGTGCTTGGATCGTGGACGAGTATTATACAGTCGGACGCAACCGATTGCAATGTTCTTAATTGAATTTACATTGAAAATGTCCGATGCGATTAATTAAAGTCGTTACTTTTTTCAGGGAACAGGAAATTTAACCTTTCCAAGAAATACTTATTTTCATTTTACTTATATGTTCTAAAATAATAATAATTATGGGGCTCAAGAGAACGGCAGCTTATCGAGAATTTCGGTTCTGACATTTAAATTAATCGATTAAAGCGACTGTCATAATTATCAAAAAAACAATTCAAACAGGTGGGAACGTTACTCACATAATTAATAGGTTTTGTTGTACACTTGCACATTTGCTTCATTGCAGCTTTACAGATGTAGTTCCTATTATTCCTCACATTCAATTTAAAGTGTGTCAACAGTAATTCAAATTTAGACTTTAACAATTGTAAGCAATTGTTGCAGCTAAGGGGTTTGCTAACATGCCACGCAGCAGTGGGGAGGGAAGAGGTATCCAAAAGCCAGAGCATTCGAAATATGTGTACTCCTTACACAGACCACCACAGTAAATTCGATGTTACCATCTTTGGTTATCGAGATATGCTTAAAACTTTTTGATAACAAGGCAATGAGTTGAGATAAAAAAACTTTTACTGCTATACATGAGTATACATTTAAAATTTCAAGCCTCTGGTTTTTGTGGACGGACGGCCAGATGCACATGGCTAGATCGACTCAGCTTACTGTCTTCATCCTGATCGTCCTTATAAGGGCTGTCACGCGTGTTTCTGTCTGTTACATACATTTTGACAAGTCCCTTTTAAACTGATTTCCCCATTTTTTTGTCGATTTCCGTTCATGCTCATATACTCGTTTTACTTTGTGAAAGAGCGTATCGAATATCCGTTACCTAATTGAGTTGTTTTTCGCTTTTAGATCCTTAACACAAAACACCTTCTTATTAGCTTGCTCTAAATTATTTTTATTTTTTGGTATTTTAATTAATATTACATAAATTATTTTAAATCTACTACTATATTTGCGGTAATACCTTTTTAAAGACCCTATAAAATATTTCACTGCATACTTTTAGGCTTATTCTACAATTTGTTTTTCTCTGCCCTATCTTACAGATAAGAGTTTCAATAATTCAATAAGCCAAGTGGTATGCATTGTCGCTAATGATGATCGCCCTGAAAAATATGTAATTATGAACTTATTCTAAAATTATGCTAGGGAATTTAGTATAAATTGTGTAGAACTATGTTTCGACTACAATAATGATTCGAGCTTAAAATTTCGTGTAAATACATGGAATTGAATTTATATTTATATTTCTATAATTAATTATCGTGTTTTAGCTACTATTATTAGTTCAGCCGCATCAACTTTGCCAACATATTTAAATAAATAGCACTATATACATACATTTAAATGTAGTTGTTGTTTTCCACTCACAGTTTAAGCCCCGAAAGCTTATCAGACTTTGTGAAAAGTTGATCTTTTTTAAATATTTATTAAAATGGCTTGTTTATAATATCAGACATTTATTTATTAATTTATTTTCCTTGCAGGTTGGTGGGTGCACAGAAAATATTTACAAATTATCACTTGGAAGATAGTTTTATCAAGCACAGCTATATTCATAATGAAAAATGCTGATTAATGATGTTCTTCGTTGATTTATTATCATTCGTTATACAAATTATTAAGCCTGAACAGTGCAAGCCGCATTGTTCCACAACTCGGCTTGCATGGCAAAGTAGTTAGTTAGCTGGGTCATATCGAGGTTGGAGAGCAGGCTATTGATGGAGGGCAACACATACTTTTCATACAGGGGTGTGACATAAGGCTGAATCTCCTCAGTGAACAACACAGAGAAGGAATTGATGAAACTGTTGAAATAGTTGTTTCCGGCAATGTCCATGTACTGATCCCAGTTGGCAGCCACCACACCACCAACAAAGTATTGCAGGTTGAAGTCCGCGATGCGCAGACCATTGGAGTTGGTCAAGCTCTGGCCGAAAGTGTATTCGCCCACGAAGCGCCAATCTGTGATTTTCTTGTTGATCAGAACCTTCTGGCGAATTGGCATCAAGAGACCACCAATGCTGAGAACACCCTCAACTTCATAGGATCCCAGAATTTGAAGAGCGGGGTACATAACGTCGAAGGTGGCGTGCAGAGTGCTCTGGTTGTAGCTGCCGCTCAGGATCTGGAAGTTGTCGAGACCAGAGACGCGGATGTTGCTCACATTGCCCTTCAGGTTAGTCTCTCCGTTGACGTAGTCGAAGGGGAAGAAATCGACGGTCAGTGGGGCCATGGCTGGAATATTGTCGGCAGCGAAGCCACAGGGCAGCATCTTCTTCCAGGCGTCGAGGAACATGTCAAGGGCGTCACGATAGGTGAGCATGCTCGAGTCCTGAGTAGGTGAGGCGCTGGCGAAGGCGACCAGGAGCGCTAGAAGAACACACTTTGCAATCATTTTGTTTTGTTGTTCGTTAACAGTAGAAAGAACTGTGTGAAGAATTGAATTTCTACACTGCCTTTTATAGTCTGTTATCTTTGCATTGGTTTTGAGGCACTTTGATCGATCGCATTTGAATTGGCCGAGTTGGCAATCAGATTGCACGTTGCATAATGTCTTATCATGTTAAACTAGCCAATTTATTGTATGACTCAGCACGATAAACTCATTCGACTTAGAGGACTTAGTTTAAAGAAGGACGGTTGAAATATGACTCAATAATTTACTGTGGCCTGAAGTCTATTTTTTCGGCGCAAAGCTCAAATACAAATCGATTCTGGAAATTATGCCGTAAGAATTATAAGCCTTATAAGTAGGTCTACACAATATTGAAGTGATGGTTTCATAATCTTGACGATTAAAATATTTTAATACTTTTGGCATAGATTTTTTAAAATTTGATTTGATGAAATGTATGCAGTGAATAAAGTAGAAATTAAAATGGAAAATTTCTAGTTAAATTAGCGAATTTAATATTTATAAAATCTTTTTATTTAACTATCGAAACGTTAGTTTAACTTACGGCTTAAGCTAAATAAAGCTCTGATATCATATCTTTATTTTCTATAAAATATTTAATTAAAGGTTTTGCGGTATTAAATAAATTTTGACCCCGCTATATTCAATTTGTATTGTATAATCTTGTACAATCTACTTTGATCACAGGTATAATTGTGTCTAGTTCTTTCTCGCAACAATAGATTCAAGCTTTCGTTTGATGTGACAATGGGAAAGTTAACTATACGAAAATGGGACCCAACTAAAGGTATTTCCTTGAAAACGATACTTTTTTGCTTTTTACAGCCGCAGCTTGTAACTTTCTATAAAAATATTTAAGATAAATGTATATATATCCATTTATTACAAAAAGTATGTTAAGGTGCTCTGCAAAATTATATTTTTACTTTTTTTTAAACAGGTAAATATTGAATTTTTTATGATGATTCGAAAAACTCTTTATATAGATCCAGTACTTTTCAACCACGAAAATGCTGTAAGTCATGCCGATGATTTACAATATATCCATGATCATTCACCATATTATCTGTGTAGTAGCGAGCTGGATTTTAAAGCAATCTATAAAAGGCGTTTTCAAAATAATCCATAGATAACGACGCAACTAGAAAAGACAGCGCGTGCAATCCACTATTCTGAGAGTTCAATCTACCATCAACCAAGCAAAATGATTGCAAAGTGTGTTCTTCTAGCGTTCCTGGTGGCCCTCGCCAGCGCCTCACCTGTAACTCAGGACTCGAGCATGCTAACCTATCGGGAAGCCCTTGACATGTTCCTCGACGCCTGGAAGAAGATGTTGTTGTATTGAAAATGTTATCGAATAGGAACATTCTTTTGTGTTATAAACGTAGAGCAAATGAGTTTTTCTCATGTCCCTATACTCGACTGTTTCGTGTGTTGAGGACAGTCCTTAGTTTCCTGTTCATGCTCGAAAGTGAAGAGTTCCCAGCTCAAATATATTTAACTTTATTTTTGGTTCATAAAAGTTATGACTTGAACTATATAGCTGGGACTTTAAAACTTGACAGTGTGCTTGCTTTATTCACTAATATATAAATGTCAGCTTTATACATTAATTTTTTTTATATTATATTCATTATTATCATCTGGTAGAAACAAAACAATGTCAACATGTTCTAGAACCATAAAGAAATATGTTAAAAACTAAGGCTCCTCCTGTTTTTCTGCTTCTCAACAATACAAAATTAATAAAGATATTGTATTTGGTATTTTCAGATCCCGGTTTCAGAGAGAATATATAATTTTAACTTTCATACAGCTTGTATTTATTTATCGTGGTCTTTTTAAGCCTGAGCTGAGCAGTCGGCAGTGTTCCACATCTCGGCTTGTGATGTTAGGTAATTAATCAACTCAGCCATGTTTAGGTTAGAGAGCAGGTCATTGAGGGTGGGTAACACATACTTTTCATACAGGGGTGTGACATAAGGCTGAATCTCCTCAGTGAACAACACAGAGAAGGAATTGATGAAACTGTTGAAATAGTTGTTTCCGGCAATGTCCATGTACTGATCCCAGTTGGCAGCCACCACACCACCAACCAAGTATTGCAGGTTGAAGTCCTTGATGCGCAGTCCATTGGAGTTGGTCAAGCTCTGGCCGAAAGTGTATTTGCCCACGAAGCGCCAATCTGTTATTTTCTTGTTGATCAGAACCTTCTGGCGAATTGGCATCAAGAGACCACCAATGCTAAGAACACCCTCAACTTCATAGGATCCCAGAATTTGAAGAGCGGGGTACATAACGTCGAAGGTGGCATGCAGAGTGCTCTGGTTGTAGCTGCCGCTCAGGATCTGGAAGTTGTTGAGACCAGAGACGCGGATGTTGCTCACATTGCCCTTAAGGTGAGTCTCTCCGTTGACGTAGTCGAAGGGGAAGAAATCGACGGTCAGTGGGGCCATGGCTGGAATATTGTCGGCAGCGAAGCCACAGGGCATCATTTTCTTATAGGCGTTGATGAACATGTCAAGGGCTTCACGAAAGTCGACCATGCCATTATCCTGGGCGACTGGTGAGGCACTGGCGAAGGCGACCAGGAGCGCTAGAAGAACACACTTTCCAATCATATTGTTTGGTAAATGATAGAAATAACTCTGTGAGAAATGGGCTGATCGATTATGATTCGATCGACTGTTATATCATTAGTTGTCAGGTTACATAAACGTAAACGATCCATTTGTTAGGTAATGGATTTGAGCTACTACGCTTTGCATTAAAAGGAAAGTGGCGCCTTACCGATGATAAGTATTATGATGTACTAGTAAAAATCCTTTTAAATTTTAAATTTATTAATTTATTACAATCTAATTAGTTTGCGTTAACATAGCGGAGTCAAATAAAAACAACGAAATAAATAATCTGAAATAATAATCTTAAATAATAATCTTAATAGGAGATTCCGACAGATCTTCATTTTAAAATATACTCTGTAGCGTGTATCTATAGATTTTAAAATAATTAAAAAATAAATAAAAAGAATAGAACATAAATCTTACGTAGGGCTGAGTTTGGACTCAGAACCCCAATGCTACGTTCATCGCCTCAAGTAGCACAGCCACCTCAATACTTAAACTCTTGATGGCAAACTCAAACTAAAATGACAAGAATTTTCGCATTTGAATGAATGTGTGCAACGGATTTCAGCGAAATAATCAGCATATGATCAACATATTCTACTGGAATATTTGTCAGCTTAGTAAAAATTAGGAGCCGGTATTAAAGTATATTATTAATAAATATAAAAACGAAATTGTATAAAATATACATGAAAATAAATGCGAAATTAGGAGACTCTAGCTCCAAGGATGTGCGAGATATAAAATAAAACCTCAATTTTGGTACTGTTTTTAATCGATACCAATAAAACAGGAATAAATATTATTTATTATTTGAAACAAATCCATATCAATGAATATCCACAAAAATACAAAATCCTGCTACGCAATATTTAAATATTTAAATATAACTATAGGATTCGGAGAAAATAATACTAGACTGAAACTCAAATTAAGTAAACAAACGTGGATTATTTTAGTCTTACACTTAATAATTCTGAATGGAATTTTAATTTAAAGGGAAAATATATTTGGAATCATATGAGGAACAAAAATCGTTGTAATATTTCTATTTATTTTTAAAGTATTATTATAATTATTATAATTATTATTATTATTATTATTATTATTATTATTATTATGATTATTATTATCAAACATTTAAATCATTTGATCGTGATTGGCTTCCCATTCCTTATTTTAAAATGGGAATGAAACATTTAATGTAGGCTAGCGCTGACTCATTTTCAATCCAGCCATATAGATGTTAAGTCCTATAAATCAAATTTACTTATGCTGTTGACTCATACAATAGATCGTCGAGTTTAATACGAAAAGACTTCTTGATACCATGCGACTATGTGCCAAAACAGCCTATTCAAATGCGATCGATCAAAGCCCCCCTTGAACCATTTGTAGATAATGATAACAGTTTGACTATAAAAGACATCGTGTGCAACCCATTCTGCACAGAGTTACTTCTACCATTAACCAAGCAAAATGATTGCAAAGTGTGTTCTTCTAGTGCTCCTGGTCGCCTTCGCCAGTGCCTCACCAGTCGCCCAGGATAATGGCATGGTCGACTTTCGTGAAGCCCTTGACATGTTCATCAACGCCTATAAGAAAATGATGCCCTGTGGCTTCGCTGCCGACAATATTCCAGCCATGGCCCCACTGACCGTCGATTTCTTCCCCTTCGACTACGTCAACGGAGAGACTCACCTTAAGGGCAATGTGAGCAACATCCGCGTCTCTGGTCTCGACAACTTCCAGATCCTGAGCGGCAGCTTCGACAACAACACTATGCGCGCCACCTTCGACTTTATGTACCCCGCTCTTCAAATTCTGGGATCCTATGAAGTTGAGGGTGTTCTCAGCATTGGTGGTCTCTTGATGCCAATTCGCCAGAAGGTTCTGATCAACAAGAAAATCACAGATTGGCGCTTCGTGGGCGAATACACTTTCGGCCAGAGCTTGACCAACTCCAATGGACTGCGCATCAAGGACTTCAACCTGCAATACTTGGTTGGTGGTGTGGTGGCTGCCAACTGGGATCAGTACATGGACATTGCCGGAAACAATTATTTCAACAGTTTCATCAATTCCTTCTCTGTGTTGTTCACTGAGGAGATTCAGCCTTATGTCACCCCCCTGTATGAAAAGTATGTGTTGCCCTCCATCAATAGCGCACTCTCCAATATGAGCCTTACCGACCTGAGCAACTACTTGGTAATGCAAGCCGGAGTGTGGAACAATGCTTGCAATGTTCAGGCTTAAAGCGATTTACATCCGGTTGCTTGTAGTGTTAATTAAAAAAATAATCCAACACAAGTTTATCATATGAAACAAAACTTGAAGATGATTACTTAACCGTGTTTTAGACAGCAATATGCAAATTGCAAAATGCAATTAAAATAGCAGAATCGAAGAGTTTATTCCTAAAAGATTTTGCAAGTTTAACCAAAGTTACTCAACAACAAATTTTTCTTAGTGAGCAACTAGAGAAAGAACATTCGAATTTGCAGGGTTTAGGTTTATTAGGGAGAATTGCTGACAAGGTATCTACGATTTCTGGGCATTTGGTAGTCACTACCAATAGTCAATATTCAGCATATATGTACTATCATGGAGTAAAATTAATCTATTGTATTATATAATAGATTCTTGTGAAATCGAAATGCTAAATGGGGACATTAACTTAAAATGCATATAGCACGAAAAAGTTGTTCAATCCTATAAGTTTATATTTTCCAAGTAAACAGAAATTTCACTCGATTTGGCTACGATAATTTTTATACCCTGAACCCATTGAAAATAGGAGTTCAGGGCATAATGATTTTAGTAAAATATATGTAACAGGGAAAGGGAAGCGTGGCACAGCTCATGAGATATTTATATTCTTGATCAGGACGACAAGCCAAACCGATGTAGTCCTATTCGAATGTCTGTCTGTCCGTAAGTATGAACGCGTCGATCTCAGCACCAATAAGAGCTAATTTAAGTTGATTTCAAATAATCGATAACTCTATCTGTTTTATTCTTATCAATGCAGTTATTAAAATATATCTCGCCTCCAATTTTTTTTTTGTTTTTTTTTGTATATATTATAAAATTTTTATTTGTTTTTTTGTTATATATCCTTCAAATTTTCTATTTCGTACTATTTTCGCTTTCGCTTTAATATGTCAAGAAGAGAAAATAAAATAATATATATATATAATATATAATAATAATATAAACAAGTAAGAAAGCTCTAGTCGGGGTGCCCGACTAGGAGATACCCTGATCCCAGTCCTTTGAGTTTTGTAATATTTTCCGTAGTTTGTATCGAGTATTAAAAAAAAAGAGAAAACAAATAAAAATCGACATTGCGAGACCAGGATTCGAACCCGGATTATTTGCGCAACGTGCACAAACTCTACCAACACCGCCACTTCATAACTAAAAAAAAAAAAAATAAAACAGTAAAAAACATTTCATCTCCTCCGGTCTCGAACCCGGACCAAGCTGCATACGAGCGGGGCCTCTACCAACGCATCCACTGTCCTTCTTGCACGGGCTGTTGCAAATTTGAACATAAGTAGCAGCTAATAATTCAGCACAATTCAATCGCAATTTCAATTCTTGGAATAGAAAAGAATACACGCATTTGAATGTATGTGTGCACACGCATAGGAAAAATGCGTGCGCGTGGCGCTGCTGACATGTGCTTTTGGAAATTGGCCAAACGTTTTGTTTAATAACTTCTGTTTTACTTAATGGATTTTAATGAAATTTTCAGCATATGATCTACATATCCTATTGGCTTGGTTGAGATGCAAACGCCTTCACATAATGGCCCTATTTCCAACTAAACTTAAATTCTAAGAATTTGGGGGAATTTGGAGCCGGTATCCAAAATCCAACAAAAATCAAAATTGCATAAAATATATATAAGACTAAATACAAAATTTGGAGGCTCTAGCTCTTAAGACGTTCGAGATATAATTTATTTACTGCATTTCAATAATGTTTTTATTCGATAACAATTAAATGCGAATAGTTATCGAATATTTGAAACAAACTTGACCTGCGCGTGCTATACACGGACCTACAAAAAAAATTTCAAGTCTCTAGCTCTTATAGATGCTGAGATCCACGCGTTCACACATACGGACAGACGGACAGACGGACAGACGGACAGACGGACAGACGGACGGACAGACAGACGGACAGGGCTCAATCGACTCGGCTTGTCGTCCTGATCAAGAATATATATACTTTATGGGGTCTGCCACGCCTCCTTCTGCCTGTTACATACATTTGCACAAAACCATTATACCCTGATTTCCCATTTTTAATGGGATCAGGGTATAAAAATGCGTCGTGAATAATATTGCAAATTTGATTTATTTTTTGTTAACTCAGCTTCCATATTTAGGCCTGAACATTGCAAGCATTGTTCCACACTCCGGCTTGCATTACCAAGTAGTTGCTCAGGTCGGTAAGGCTCATGTTGGAGAGCAGGCTATTGATGGAGGGCAACACATACTTTTCATACAGGGGTGTGACATAAGGCTGAATCTCCTCAGTGAACAACACAGAGAAGGAATTTATGAAACTGTTGAAATAGTTGTTTCCGGCAATGTCCATGTACTGATCCCAGTTGGCAGCCACCACACCACCAACAAAGTAGTGCAGATTCAAGTCCTTGATGCGCAGTCCATTGGAGTTGGTCAAGCTCTGGCCGAAAGTGTATTCGCCCACGTAGCGCAAATCTGTGATTTTCTTGTTGATCAGAACCTTCTGGCGAATTGGTATCAAGAGACCACCAATGCTAAGAACACCCTCAACTTCATAGGATCCCAGAATTTGAAGAGCGGGGTACATAAAGTCGAAGGTGGCGCGCATAGTGTTGTTGTCGAAGCTGCCGCTCAGGATCTGGAAGTTGTCGAGACCAGAGACGCGGATGTTGCTCACATTGCCCTTAAGGTGAGTCTCTCCGTTGACGTAGTCGAAGGGGAAGAAATCGA